CTCCAAATCACTTGTACCAGCAGGCTGACCCCATTATGTCAGCTAATCCTGGAAATACAGGAAGTAAATCCAAATTTTTTCATATGAAACATTTAGTCAATATTCTTTTTTCTTTTTTTTAAATTTGTTCTGGCACAGCTTTGGGAGTTTTATATTCCTGTCCATCTTTTGCCCTAGACTATAACTTTCTGTGTTGCAATGCCCGGGGGAAGAGGTCCAAGTACAACTTCTCCTGAGGGACAGAGCAGGGAGGGCATTTGAAAGGACAGTGCTTGTTTTTCAAAAAATGAAAAAGAAGCAGAAAGACCACAGGCTGTGCGAAGGGATGGGGTAAAGAGGATGCCAGGCATATGGGTGAGTTAGTACTGGTGCTCAGGGGATAAATCAGCCTCCCTTTGTCCCTATTCCAGCGCACTGTCTCAGCAGTTGTACTATCCCCTTATCAACAACACACCTACATGCTGCCCGTTTTTCCTGCTTATGTTCACCCACGGCCCAATTACTAGTCCGTGAAGCTCCACACCTGCTGTGTCTTGATCCTGAGAACACTACACTGAAGCTTTTAACCCTCTCCAAACACCTACACAATGCTTTATAATAATAATATTTAGCACATGGGAAGTTACATTAAGTAATTATAGACAGTACTTCAAACACCAGATTAGCAGATCCTTACACAGTGCTGAAGATCTGCAACAGATAGATCTACAAGTGAAAAGCACAGTCATTTTCAGTCTGTGAGTCATGTTTAAGTCCTGGTCTCCTCAGAGAGACTGTGAGCCCTGTCTCCTGTTTTTGTCCTAAGATTCACCATAATAGATGTTTTTTAAAATCCCAAGGTTATGTGGAATTGTGTGATTTTATGGAAGAACAGCTTGCAATATGACCCACATCTGTTATAAACACTCACTAATCTTACATGCAAATAGAAAGAATTGACATGTTTAAGTATCTAGATTCCTCTTTTCCTCCTTGTTCCCCACAGAATGTTTGAGCTTTTTAATTCCTATCTTATAGTTTTTTAGTTTTGCTGCTGAAAGTACAACGACATTCACATATTGGACTCAACTGAAAAGTACTTGCCTTCAGTCTGAACGGCCATGTATCTTAATTACAAGTGTCCACTGCTTACACTTCTTCAAAAGCACAAAGACGTTAAACTCCCTCTGAATGCTGAACTAAGGTTAACTAGAGCAAGGCATTTATAATAAACATGGGAAAACAAAGTATAGAATTAGCTAGGGAATTGATAGATTTTGATGCATAAATTTGGACTTAAATGTCCTTAACCATCTTTACTTCTATCATTTTTGTCTTGTGCAAAATGTCCCCTAAAATATTATACCAAACCCGGTATGAAAGTCTTAGTTTTTTATTTATTTCTGCTGAAGACATAGAAACAATTGGTCTAATCCAGTCTAAGTTATCACTTGAAGTTTATTTCATTCTCATCTTTCAGTTCCATGCATCTCTCCTAAATGCAGAAGCAGCATTTTTCTTGAAGAATACATGGTGTGAGTACACATCCAAACTCATTCTTTTGTCCCTTTCAAATAATCCAACCTGATGGTTCAAGCAGTGGTGACAGAACGTGAGACTGAAAGACCATCACCATTTTTTGACTGGCATACTGAACACAAGTTACAATTGAGAATGAAAGATAAACAGGTATGTCAGTTAAATAGAAAACATTAGAGTGAACCTATCAGAAAAAAAAGATAGGGATGGAAATTGCTTAATAAAATATGCCTGTATAAGGAGCGCGCTGTTGACATTCATCTTCCTTTTTGTTCACAATACTTTATAAATTATTTTTATGTGGTGCTGAGGATCCTTTGCAAGATGTCAAGCACCTCAAAAAATACTTGAATTTGGCATTTTATATAAAACTAACCACTATGTACTCTCTGTGTTTAGCAAACTTTGTTAGAAGCCAGGTTTATAAAAGATTTTATAGGGTGCTTGACAAAGTTAAGCATTTTCCTGGCAAAGATGGAGTGCTGATTTAATTTAGGGATAGGAAAAAAAAAGTGTATTACACAAATCCATGCCTATGTAAACATAAAATAAGCATATATCAGAAAACAACATTTATCTGTATCAACCTGAAATAAGACAGTATCACCATAATAAGAGAACTGTAAATTCTTGTAACAGTGGAAAGTTGAAATGAAGAGCAATTTCTGAGCAGCATCACTGAAACAAAAATTATTTAGAAGCCCAAACCTTCAACAGGTATTCAAAATAAATATTGAGTACAGTTAAAGAAAGTGTATCTCACATTTTCTTCAAGCATTCATAACCCTTCTGATTCCCAGGTTTGCATATGTGCAGGAGAATATGGCATAGCAACAAAACCATTAGTATATTCTTGCTTCTCATACAACCATTCTGAACAAGTCAGGAAAAAAAGTACCAAAAATTGCTCAGCCAGTGACACTCTTGGCAGACTGGGTTAGTGCCCTGTATTTTACAACCCCAGGAGGTTAGTATTTGTTCATTTCTACAGCAATTTATACTAATCGATCACTTCCTGCTCTTTCTTCCTTCACTGTATTTTTAAACCCACTAACTAGGATATGCAGCCTTGTAGCATCTCAGGGATCATCTCCTTACCCTTCTCTGCCATCATCTTTTTGTGCTGAGACTAATGCTTTTAATTCTACTTTTCACAGTGTTTAGGCTATATTGCCTTTTTGAAACCTTCCAGCTCAACTGCTAAGTGTATAACAAAGCCCGTCAGATTGCTTTTCGTTGCACTAGTTCATGTTTTGAAAATACTACAAAGGCATATTTTTCATGGGAGGAGAGCCTTGGAATGAATACCCTTCTCCAAGTGCAATATGAATGCCCCCAGTTCTTTTGTAAAATTTGCATTGAGGTTTAACTCTCACAGGCAAAGTGGCAACATACTGCCCAACAAACACAGGTTTCTTTTTTAAAAAGTGTGGGCTTGTTTTGGCTCTATTCGTAAGTTATTTTTTGAAAAATGCATTAAAATATAGGATCTTTGTTCTTTGTGTTTCAGTTCTGACACAAGAAAGTAGTGAGCACCAGAACGTTGTACTTCACAAGAATAAAACTGCTTGATTCACATAACTTCAGTGACCTTTCAGTGCAGAATTATCTATAGTTTCAACAAAACAGCAGAGATCATTTATTTGAAGGAAGGT